ACTAAGCTTTTAATCCTAGACTTTGTAGACCTTTCATTCTGAGCCATTCACTTGCAAATGCCTCAAACACCTCCATATTTACAGATATAACACTTGTACTCTGCTGGAATGAGTTGATACTTGCTTTTCAAATTTCCAACCCTCCTAGGTTCAAATTCCTCACCCCTGAGCACAAACTTTGGTCAAATGCTTGTGGGGGGATGTTGAAGCTTCAAATTGATCACAGGGCTATAGTGTCTTAAGTTATTTAGTAGATCTAAATCAAATTATTATATTTGTGACAAGTTGGTGTTGTATTTTCTTGTTAGTAAGATCTCTTTTTGTGCAGAAGCAATTGAGGTCAAATGCTGTTGATAATTGGTTTGAGTGATATTTATTTGATTTTATAAGTTATGAAATTTTTACAAAATCAAATTATGGCTATGCCATCTGTGGTTTAGTCTACAAGGCTCAAAATTTCAGAATTTCTGAGGAGAAATTATCATTTATTATGAGCTCTAAGTATCATTCAGACTAATCATTATTCTTACAATTTTCAAGGAATTACGAGTCAGTATTTAACCTATGACTCCCATGACAGACCAACACAGAATTTCTCCTCCCAATATCACTACAATATTAAGCAGACAAGTGATGAGAATATAGGAAATGTAACTTACAGGATTATTAGTTGATTATATACCAAATTCTCTAAACTATTATTTTAAGAATGGTAAGACAGACATTAAGGAGAACTACTTATGAGATCTTGAGGTTAAGGGTTAAAGTAGTGCACTTTGTGTTCTTTGTATAGGAGGACAAAACAAGAACTGAAATTTTATACTTTGTAAATAGAATGTGACAGATGGTAAGTTTTGAGCTGGTAAAGGAATAGAGAGAGATGTTTTTGTTGTACCATGCTCGTGACAAGACTATGAAATTTTATATATAATCATGTTATTTATTCCATCAAACAATTTTTTCTGTTTGTGCCTGATTACTTCCCATGCTTCCTGTGGCTGCAAAAATGCATGTTATTTGTCGGAGGACAGTAATAATCTGTTCATTCTTTCAGAAAAGTGTTTGCTTTTCAGATTAGACAATGTGTGTAGA